GAGCAATCAATGTCCCTGCGTACATCAATCATTGGCCTGGTAAGACTGATAAGCTCAAAGGCTGCGAAACTGTCCACCTAGCCATGGATGGAAGGTTGACGTGATACTTTCACCCCCTGTTACCCATCCCAATCATAGGTAGTATGGAAAGGCAATCTTAGATACCTTGCAAACAAACCCAGCTTTTAGCTGCAATTCGTGTAAAATATTCTCATGGCCAAAAACATCAAAGTCAAGCTACTCAACCACGGCTGAACCAGTATAGTAACCTCCAAAAAGATAGAAAAGTATAATTTATCACAAAAATTTTAGCTTCGGTAATATGACGTTTCTATCTTTTTTGGGGGGTGCCTTAAAGGTACCAACCTACCAGCCCGCCTGGAACCCGCCAGTACCTCGGTTGTGGTTGTGTTGCTGTGGTAGGTGAAACCTCCTGGAAATCCAGCTGGCAAAGAAAGAACATTTCTTAACGATCATTCTCCCATCTATAGCCCATATGCTCCATGTATGGTATATTTACCCAGATTTTGAGGGCACATGTTGGTAAATATACCATACATGGGAAAAAATGGAAAAATGGTGGTTTCAGGGCGTATATGTTTGTATGTTGCTTGTTATGATTTTATATTGGGGTTCAATGTTTCATCTTCGCCTTTGATGTTTTTTCAGGTGGGGTTTTGGGGGTAATTTTGTTGCTAAAGTGATGTGTCAATGTTTGGATTGAATGGGGGTAGGATTTGTTTAGGCTGTTGGGGTTTTATGTTTGTGTTTGGGTGGGTGATTACTTCATAATATGTTTTGTTAAGATATTATGAATTAATCATTTATGCTTTCCACTTTCCTATTCCATCCCACCAGTGTTCAATCACTCTCATTTGTGTTAAGCACGGTTTGTTTGTATCATTTAGTTCATCCATTGCTATTGATAAAAGCGTTAGGTTGATAATCATAGCGTTAAATTCTCCATCTCTGTTCAGTTCCTTTCCACAATCAATGATGACTTTTTTATCAGTGAGGTTTTCATACATCTTTTTCATTATAGCAAAATTTACAAACATATATATTGTCATATCCTTTACTCCTTCCCCTGATTTCATCCTATCAATTACTTTCTTCCAAAACTTGTCTCCTTCCTCATCGTCTGGTGAAGGCATAGGATGACGTCTTACAAAGTCTCTAATCTCTTCATCTTCTTTTTCTATTTCTTTTCTTTCCCAGTCTTCATCCTCACTATCACTACCAAAGTCAGCATATATTCCAACATTCCCTGTATCTATAACCTCAATTGTTTTTGCTCTAAAGGCTTTACTCATTTTCTCTTATTATATATAGTCATTTTTTCTTTAAGTATTTATCACTTTTTGTAGGTGCTCTTGTATTTCTGTTGGGTTACAGTATTTCTCATAACCCTTGAAGAGTTCTTCGGTGTATTCACGCAAAAATATTTCCATAATGTCTTTTACCTTAAACTCCCTATTTCTAAATGTAAAAGTCCAATCGTTTTGAGGAAACCACCACTCCCGTTTGTTCTTACAATACTTCATATATGTAAGGTCGTGAAAGTTTTTAAGGAAATGGTAGGTAGTTTTCCACTCCCTTTTCACAAAAGACTTAATCGCCATTAAGAATAGTTTATCGTGACTGAACTCTTGCTTGAGTTTGAATGTATCCATCAAAATATCAATTTCTCTTTTCATTTGCCGAGTGTTTGTGCGATTAGTATTAGACAAATAGATAGGTGATTTCTCCATCCTTGTTTTGAAGAAATAGATTGTCTTTTCTACTCTTGTCAGTTTTTTATCATTAAAATAGTCAAAATGATAATTGAAGTCTATGTATCTACGCTCCCTGTCATTTAAGTCTTTACATTTTTCACAGTGAAGGTTGTAATCACATATCTCATCACAAATTCCAGCGGGGAAAATGTTGTTCAATAAAACCTTTACTTTAGTCATTTCTTTCTTACAATAACATCCACAGTTTTTGTAAGTAAATAGCATCCTCTTATTATATATAGGTAATTTTTCTTTAAGTAGTTTTTGGGGGCTCGTTCAGTTTTCGGGTTCTGGTTGGTTTTTATTTTCCCTTTCCTCCTCTTCCAGTTCCTTTATTACCATATCAATTTCACTCATTCCTTCATTAGGGTCTTGTCCATTGGCAAGGTTTCTTAACCTCTCAAAATCCTTCACTTTGTGTCTTTCATTAGGTGGGAGGGTTTTGAGATGTTCCTTCAACTCTGTCAGGTCAAAGTATGTGTCTTGTTCTTCATCCTCATTTTCCAAAAACATTTCCATTCTTTGCTTTTCCATCTCCATAAGTTTGTTTTCCATATATTGGAATTCAATTGCTTCTTGTAGCACTTCCCACAAACATTCACGAAGGTTTTTAACAAATAATTCCAACTAGGTTTTTTGTAATCACCATTGTTTAAGGTGATACACTCACTCATTATACGACATCCACAGTCAAATTTAGTCATCTTATTTAGTCTTACTATATATAGGTTTTTTTTCTTTAAGTATATGTTTTTATTGGTGATAATTTTGAAAATCTAATATTATAATATATGGCAAGGAGACTATCAAGAGATGACATCATAAGCAATGTCTATTACAATCTTGAAACGGGCTTCGGCTCAATCAATGAGACCCTCAAAAAAGCGAAGGAACAAGACCCGACCATCAACAGGGTGGATGTGGAAACCTTTATGAGGAAACAGCCCAACAAACAGATTAGAAAATACAGGGGTTCAAACTCCTACACCGCCCCGTTCGCAAGGTTTGAATATCAGATTGACATAATGGATATGAAACCCCTTACCACCGCCCCCGACAAAATCCAGAAAGTCCATGAAGAAGTCCGCAAAAAACGAGGCGAAGCGAAAGACGTTCAAATCAAAACACAACCAAGAAAAAACGCCACCAAAAAAGACGAGAATGAGAGAATAAAAAATGAAAGATGTTGAAAGACATGGAACCTTATGAAAGATATCAAGTTGAATGTTTTGTCTTGAAATTGATGATAAGGAAACACAATAAAGTCATACCCAAAAAAAGACAAGACATACCTTGACAATCAAAAAGCGACAACCACAAGTACAGTATCCACAGTATCTCCCTCATCTGAACCAAAACACAAACCCCAACAGCCTAAACAATTGTCCCCCTCATCAAAAACCAAACATTGACACATCACTTTAGCATCAAAATTACCCCCAAAACCCCACCTGAAAAAACATCAAAGGTGAAGATGAAACATTGAACCCCAACACAAAATCATAACAAGCAACATACCAACACACACGCCCTGAAACCCCCATTTTACCATTTTTTTATGGGGCATATGGGTAGATGGTTGCTATTTACTGATTTCCCCATTTTTTGTTTCGGGGTCATTCTCCACTCCAAAAAATTTAAAAAAAAACCTCCAGTTGGTTGGGCGATTTCCCATGAAATCCCGTAGAAACCTCATTTTCCAATATAATTGTCCCATTAAATATCCCATTTAAAAAAGAAACAGAAACACATTTTCCTACCACCCCAGTCATCTCTAGATGTCTGTGGCCCACACCGGTGCTCACGCAGCTGGAAACCTCCGATTTGGCATGGGACCCGGCAAAGTGGGGATTGAAACTCAGCAACTTGTTTTTTATTAAACGAATTCAACCAACAGTAATGGGAATAGATGGGAATGGAATAGCTTTGGGGTGAATACTTCTGTCCCAGAAACTTTGGGAATCGTCTTCTGGAACCATCTCATCATTTAGGAATGGGTCAAAGCCCTGGTCCTTGGTTTCTTCCATCCCAAATATGTGGCCAGAATGGTTGTTTAATTTTTCAAGATGGTTCTTAAAACCCCCCATTGTTGTGCGTTATCCATTCAAGTCCCATCACAAAACCTCCGTTTCAGATGGATACCTCTGATGCGTCTTGAAACTTTCATGATTTGAATTTTAGCAGTGGATACCCGGTATCCCTCTAATGATTTTGCATAGCTGGATATGGAAAATAAACGAACATGGCCCTAGTTCGATGAATCCTAGAAAAAACATGCTGATTTTCAATAGCAAACTGCAACCGAATACCGAGGGCAAATCCCCATCAAATCCCACTAAATTTCCATTTGTTGATGATGAAACCACCGTTTATCCCAGAGGAATCCCTTAAACATCCTAATTTTATACCAGGTATACCTCAATTTTCAGATATAGTTGGTTATCTATTTTCAGATATAGTTGGTTATCTATTTTCAGATATAGTTGGTTATCTATTTTCAGATATAGTTGGTTATCTATTTTCAGATATAGTTGGTTATCTATTTTCAGATATAGTTGGTTATCTATTTTCAGGTATAGTTGGTTATCTATTTTCAGGTATAGTTGGTTATCTATTTTCAGGTATAGTTGGTTATCTATTTTCAGATGTAGTTGGTTATCTATGTTCAGATTTAGTTATAGTTGGTTATCTATTTTCAGATATAGTTGGTTATCTATTTTCAGATATAGTTGGTTATCTATTTTCCGATATAGTTGGTTATCTAGTTTCAGATATAGTCGGTTATCTATTTTCAGATATAGTTGGTTATCTATTTTCAGATTTAGTTATAGTTGGTTATCGAAATATTTCAGATATAGTTGGTTATCTAAATATTTCAGATATAGTTGGTTATCTATTTTCAGATATAGTTGGTTATCTATTTTCAGATATAGTTGGTTATCTATGTTCAGATATAGTTGGTTATCTATTTTCAGATATAGTTGGTTATCTATTTTCAGGTATAGTTGGTTATCTATTTTCAGGTATAGTTGGTTATCTATTTTCAGGTATAGTTGGTTATCTATTTTCAGATGTAGTTGGTTATCTATGTTCAGATTTAGTTATAGTTGGTTATCTATTTTCAGATATAGTTGGTTATCTATTTTCAGATATAGTTGGTTATCTATTTTCCGATATAGTTGGTTATCTAGTTTCAGATATAGTCGGTTATCTATACCTCAATTTTCAGATTCCATGGTCTGTGAAACGACGCCTTCCCATTCCTTTCAACCAAGCCTCTGCACTCTCTGCGACGGCCGCTTTGGGCCACATAACGCCCGGCGGCCAGCTGCAACCATTGCCTGCATGGCCACGTGTCCCTTGGTGAAAGGGATTTGTTGCTTTCAATCCAATCCCGATATTTTTGACATCCCTATATGGGTCCCAATGTGTGTTTTTCTTAATCCCCCGATCAATCATGGTGGGTGGTGTTTATTATTAAATGTTTTTTTTTGAGATACAAACAACGTCGTTGGGTTAATTTTACCGGGACTCAAACTTTAGGAAGGGCCAAAGAATTGCAGGAATGGATCCGAAGATGCTTTACCACAACAAAAAACAACACAATTTCGTTCGATTTTGGTGCGGTTTCCTGCCATTGGTGACGTGCAATCAAGACGAGTATTGACACCTGCATGGAGGTAGGCAAATTATTCGCCAGTTTACTAAGTGAGAGGACCACATGTTGGTCGATATTCCTATACTCAATATTGGTTGGCTCAAATCTCTACAGAATATTCAATATTGATGGGATGAGATGGTCAGTATATTGAGTATATTGGTGAATATACTGTTTCATATAAATATTGCTGGTTGGTCAGTATACCATCTGGTTATTTAACAGTTTGCCATGGAAAACCAGCATTTTTAATAGGTAAACCATCTATAAATGGGTCATATTCCATGGCTATGTTAAATAACCAGATGGTATTTGTTTTTTTATCCCCACTCACCAGTCACAACTGTGATGATCCCTCTAGCCCTCCAGACTACAAACCCGCCACACCTGCCAGATCTTCCGCAGCCGGCGCTGGGCAGCTCCTGGCGTAACCAGACATTGCCTGTGCTTGGTATGTGTACATACCGATCTATACCATCAAACCCCGGTTTCAGTTTGATTGTTCATAAGAATTCCCCAATGATTTTTTGACATTCACTTAGCTATTATTAAGTGTTTTTTCATGTTTACCCTCCGGTAATCAAACATGGTTTGCTGGAAAATCCTCCGTTTACAAATGATGTTCGCATGAAAATCGTTATTTTCAAATGGTTTTTGATGGTATACCCATAATATGTATACATTTGTTTATACTTATTTCTGGTTTTTGAACATATAATATTATTATTATATATATATTAACATATATATACATATATGTTTATATATATTTCTGTGTTTTTAACATATAACATCATACATATATATATATATATACATATATTCCCATGGTTGATTGCCCAAATGACATCCCCATCATCCAAGCGGCGGGATCCGCGGGATCCGTTCCGGCTCCACCGGTCTGAGCAAGTCAACGCCACGCAGCTGCAGCGTGACCCAGCCGCTGGCAGGGCCCAAGCCCTTGACTAACCTCAAAAGAATCTGGGAGGAGATTTGATCAACACACATATCAAAATGATGTTGTTTTAACTAAATGATGAACATATCAAAATGATCAACATATCCAAAATGGTGGTTGTGTTTTTAACTAAATGATGTCAGCACAACGGATCAACAACGGATAAACAAACAAACAAACAGCCCTTAACTAATAAACAAACACAGAACGGATCAACAAAATGATCAACATATCCAAAATGGTGTTGTGTTTTTAACTAAACTATGTCAGCACAACGGATCAACAACGGATAAACAAACAAACAAACAAACAGCCCTTAACTAATAAACAAACACACAACGGATCAACAAAATGATCCACATATCCAAAATGGTGTTGTTTTTTTAACTAAATGATGTCAGCATTGACTGTGTTTTTGAACAACAAAAAAACACAAGGTGGATTTGTGATTTAAGCCACAAAGAGGTAGGTTCAAACAACTAATGGTGATTTGGGAGGCAAAAAAAAAATGGTTACTTTCCGGTAATCTTATTTTGGAAAAAACTCACCAACCAACCACAACAACAAGAAGAAGAACCATTAAAATTGCAGTCTTAAAAACCCAACGATGTCAATCATTGCATTCCATCGCAGAATTACCTTCACTACATATCACAAAAAATGGCATACATTAATAATTTACATACATCACATACAAAAACCCACGGGGTGGGGGCAAACATCGAAAAAACCTCGAAACCTGCCAAAATCCCTAAAAAAAACGTAAAATAGTAATGTTCCAGAGGTCCGGTCCGGGATGGGGGAACAAAAACTCTTTAGAAAACTTAAAACACATTTTAAAAAATCAAAAAAAAACAAAAAAATCCAGAAGTCCTTTCCTGTATTTGGAACTAATACTCATGGAGTTAGATAGTGCCATGGTTAAATATCAAGTTGGGTGGTCCCGAGGGGGAAGGGCGGTGACCATTTTTTTGGAGGTTTCCTAAAATCCGGGGATCCCCAAAATCATTGGTTTCAATATGTTTCGATACTAAAATTGTCTAATTTTGGAGTTGGGGTACCCCTCCATTTTAAGAAACCTCCATAAATAATCCGCCGACCCCTGCCGACAGCAAGGGGGAGCGCGTCAGAGAAGAGATTACAAGCAGCAAGTGCAACCAGCATTTCTGGGAGAGTCAGAAAGTACTGCCAACGCGCAGCTGGGGGCTCCATCCGCCATCCTTTAAGGCCATGCTGTTTTCAGGAAGATTGGGCTTTGGCGTTTCAAAGAACGGTTCTGGCTGGTTTTGATTGCTTCCTTTTGACGTTCCAGAAAGCAACGTTAGGGACTGGCAGCCACGGTGTCTGGGGTCGGCGGCACAGGGCAGCAGCCCTTTACATTTACTCGATCATTCCCTATCATGGTTGCGTTGTGCGTTTTCCCCGCTTGATCTTGATAAAACTGGAAGTACCATCTTATCTGTATGATGTTCTCAATACCCTCTGGTAATTTAACATAGCTATTGAAAATGGCCATTTATAGTGGATTTTCCCATTAAAAATGGTGATTTTCCATAGTTATGTTAGTTTACCAGAGGGTAATCCCATTCCCCTAGCATTTTCCCCATCCCCCACATCCACTATGGTTGGAGGTGTTAGATCTATCAAGAGGGGAAGGGAACAACTTTTCATGGTGTCCCCAACCTCAACAACCATCATCCAGATCGCCCAAGCAACTCGTAGCGTAGGCGTCCCTTGCCTTGAACAACTAGATCCCCTGAATGGGGAGTTAACCACTGGGACATGTTGGAAAAAAAAAAACATCTTCAGGTTGCTTCTATCAACATCTAATATATCCAGTATTATCAATATCATTAAATCATCATCAATGTCTATTTACCCCTCCGGCAATCAAACGTGGCTGGCTGGGAAATCCCTTATAAATCAAGATTTATAGATGGGAAAACCATCTATAGATAATGGAGTTTCCCTTGCCACGTTTGATTACCCCAGAGTAAATTTTGAAAACAACGTTAAACTATCATCAGTATCAATATATAATACTCCCATGCCCCTTATACTAAACAGTCCCCCACAGAAACCATGGTAGATGTAGGGAATTTCCACATCTATGGAACCAAAAAAAGGGGGGTGTTTCACCAGTAGGATGGGATCTAAGTCAACTATAGAAGCTTATCAACATTGACCATGATTAACCATTATTCACCAATATAAAATGGCTACTAACCACCATTCCTAAACCACAAAAATTAGGGGATGGGATGGGATCAAAAATTGTATATCACTGTGAATCACCAAAAACTATTATTCATATAGCCACTATCAAGATCTATAAATCTGATAAATAGTATCTATTCTACCCTCTGGTAAACGTTTGCATGACTATGGACAATCACCATTTTATAGCTGGCTAAATCAACCATTTCGACTGAGCCATTTCCCATAGCTATGTCATAAATTACCAGAGGGTAAATCCCATATGAAATAGTGTATCCAACTATCAATGATCATGATATTGCTGGTTGGATCATTCTAAACAATCAAAACTATTCTACCCTCTGGTAAACATTTACATGACTATGGACAATCACCATTTTATAGCTGGCGAAATCAACCATTTCGACTAGGCCATTTCCCATAGCTATGTCATAAATTACCAGAGGGTAAATCCCATATGAAATAGTGTATCCAACTATCAATGATCATGATATTGCTGGTTGGATCATTCTAAACAATCAAAACTATTCTACCCTCTGGTAAACATTTACATGACTATGGACAATCACCATTTTATAGCTGGCGAAATCAACCATTTCGACTGGGCCATTTCCCATAGCTATGTCATAAATTACCAGAGGGTAAATCCCATATGAAATAGTGTATCCAACTGTCAATGATCATGATATTGCTGGTTGGATCATTCTAAACAATCAAAACTATTCTACCCTCTGGTAAACATTTACATGACTATGGACAATCACCATTTTATAGCTGGCGAAATCAACCATTATGGCCAAAAACCCAACTTGCCAATCCGCCATGCGACTTCTGGCCATTTCCCGCACCGTGCTTCCAAACTCCAGGCGTTTTTGCTCCAGCGCGCTGCTCAGCGCGGCGCCGCGGCGCACCTGGAGACCGCCCGTCTTTTGGCCGCCCGTCACCGTCCACAGCGCCATGGCAACGAGGTGACGGAGCAGGTCGAGGCGGAAAAATTTGGACACACATCTGGGTTACCCGGCCTGGTAAACATAGAAAAAACGATGGAAAGATCCATCATTTTTTGATGGGTAAACTCAACTATAACTGGACCATTTTCAATAGTTTTTTGTATGTTTACCAGAGGGTAAATAATAGACTGTTATAGCATTACCCTATCATAACATAGAATTGATAAGAAATATAACAAGGCAATGTTATAACATTTACCAGGAATAACCCTATATCTGAAATAATGTTACAACATAGAATTGGTAAGACCTAGAAATAATAAGTATAGGAAATCTGGTAGTATATGCTATATTATGTATATCCTATGTGGCAATAACACATAATATAATAGAATATATGGCTATGGGTCATGGCAGCCTGGTACCTAGTGAACCTCAAGTGGTTTTGACTCATCCCCATATTTCACTAACGATTCCAGTGAGGCCACAGTGATGTCACTATAATTTGCCCTCATAACATGGAAAATAAACTATAGAAAAAGCATGAAAAAGCAAGTTTGTTTAAAGGTTGAATATGTTTGAAAAGTGAAACTGGAACGATTTCAGTTGGAATGAAATCATGTTCGTTCCAGGATGGCTCTTGCTGCTCTGTCTGATCGGTTGGTTCTTTTACCTTGGCCGACTGGTTGCTTGGTTGCCTGGTTGCCTGGGCGCTTCTTTCAACGGATGGGTTTGAGGGACTTGTTTCGGGAAACTGTTGTCTTTCCCCATCAAATATGCAGTTCTTGTCAATTTTTCCTTCAATCCATTCAGAGAATTCCTGCTTTCCAAAGCTGCATTGCTTTGGTTCACTTAAGCCATGTGTTCGACCGCGCGATCGCACGGTCTGACGCAAGCCAACGTCTAGGCTGGGACACTCCTCTGGGCTGCTGAAAGCGGAACACCTCAAACTTGGATCGACCCTTTCAAAACTTTCACAAAGAAACCCGCTAAGCCGTTGAAGAATCGCATTTTAAAAAGATCTTTTCCGCTGGATGTGGACATGCTTTAGGGACTCCAGGACGCAGCGACATCTTAGGCTTGGACGACAAATCTCAACCAGTCCTGGTCCGCTGGGGATGAAGCCAACAGAGAACTCAGCCCTCGTTGCAATCATTCGCCTGTCAAAGAATCACCGCAGCAAAATTCTCTGATCGTGTCTGTTTCGTGACTTAGGCTTAGAAAGAGCTGAAAGATGGTACAGTAGCAATTGTATCTATGCGAATTGGGGTTCTCAATCTGGAGACAACCCCAACAGCCAAGGGAACCCCAACAGCCAAGGGAACCCAAACAGCCATGTCCTGCAGGCTGCACTGCCAGTGTTTGACAGGGCCTCGCTGGCCATCCCTAATTTTCTTGGTGTCAAAAAAATGCTTCGAAACAAAAATGAGGATGTATAAATATATACTACCAATCATGGTATTAATATATACTACCATGAAACAATAAGTAAATTTTCGGGCATCCTTTAGATCTTCACCAGCAAAAATGTATCCGATGTATCCTCTGGAGACCGTGGCAACAGGAATTCATCATCTTTGATGAATGGAAAATCTAGGAATTCATCACCCATAAACATGGGTTTGTCTGAAAATAGTGTACCCCTACACCCAATGGTTAATGATCATTATCCCTACTAAATGGCTATAATTGGGGGTATACCCACATTCAGGGCAGTTTCTGCCAGGAAAGTCCCAAGAACCACCACCTGAGCAGCGGATCATTAGCTCCGCAACTTGAGACTATCCAGACAACGAGTTCCACTGTCTATCCTGATCGTTGTCCAACAGAATGACCTAACGACCAAAAAAATTGAAGAAAGGTCATGACAGCTGGCCGCGGTCAACACTTGGGAGATGTGAAGAATCTCGAGTTTCGATGAGAGGAGCTGTTAACACATGTTTATATAGACTATAGACCTATACCTCCTGTATATCCATGTATATCAATATCCCTCAATTGCGAATATGCTTAGCCTTTCCAGGTCACAAAATCTTGAAAGATGGCTGAACAGACCCCCATGAATTGGGGGAGAAGCTCACATTTCAATTTGACCGATCCGATCCAGAAATATGTTTTATCGATTTGTTGGTGATAGATAAGCTGTTATATTCCCATGAAATACCCCCACTAGTCATGTTTGGTGATGTTCACCCCGTTCTTTAGAGAGAAACCCCAACGTTCAAACTGAGATCTAACCTCAGGGAATTTGTGATGGAATAACTGTTACATCGCCTTTAAACCATGGCTCGTTTTGTAGATGAATGACCGACCTGAAACATGGTGATGTTCAATAGTCAGCCATAGTCATGTTAAATCAGCAGATGATCTCTGTGGTGAAACAGATGATATAGATCAACTCATGAAATATGTTTTGGTGACATGTGCCAGAGTATGTTATATATGTATGTATATGTAGGGAGAGAAGAACAACGAAAAACACACATGAACAAACTTGAACCATAACCAATATATACAAATATATAAGAAACATCGTTCTGAGCGCATGTCCCACGTAACATCCCCATGATTTCCGAGCCTTTCTTTTTGCCCTGAAATGTGCCTAAATGTACCTGAACTGATCTTGGACTCTGGAGCTATCACCACCACGGGATGAATTGGCCCATGTCACCACGGTCCCGTCTGCCAAAATCGCAGCAAAAGCTTCGCCTGTTCTACAAATCTCTTGAACATTGTGCAGCTGATCCTGAACTCTGGAGCTGTCACCGCCAAAGCGTCCATGGCCCCATGTGACAAATGCAATAGCAATGAGGCTGTCTCCATCTTGAAGCCCAGAAAGTCTCAGAGACTTCGCTGGATCTAAAAGGCGTCCGTCAGGCGCAGCAAGCCTCAGGAAACCTTGCCCAAAAGAGCGTTGTGCAACTAGTTTCAAGTCAGCAATGGTGCCACACTGCGAGACCACAACAGTTTCACGTCCACTTGGCAAGGAGACCTCAAGTTTGATGAAAGCGTCAGCCACTGTGCTCACGGGCCTGCTCGAAAAAGGGCACAGCTACGAAGTGGTGTCGCTGAACAGATTCTATGGTCCAATCATCAGTGTTCTATGATCAGCGTTACATAATTAAAACTGGACTTTACAACATGCTGAGCATGTTCAAAGAGAGTGAAACATGTTCCACCTAGGTGAACATAGGATCAGTGGCATTTTTTCAGCACTTGATCCAAGTGCAGGCCAGTAAGTTTTGGGAATCAACATCGGGGATGATACCGACATTTCCCAGCTGGTGAATGATAAGTAGCTGGGGTAGATAATAATCATAAGATAATCATATTCGCCAGAAATAGCTGGGGTAGATATAAGATATCTAATGGATAATGATAAGTAGCTGGGGTAGATAATCTTCCATGCAAGAAAACTGGAAGATACTGGCAAAATCCCGGTTTTCAGAGGCTGCGGTCTTATTTATGTCGCTTTAAACGTGGAGCCCGAATGATTTCGCATCTCTTTGGATGTCTGAATCTTATGCATTACTCATGTTATTTCAACCGTACTAATCTCTCAACACTACAAAATCATATTAAATCTCTAAGAGAGATGGTTTTATTGTATAGTATTGATTGTATCTATCCGAAGTCTACTATTCAAGATAAACACTAGATACTACCCTTTGGTAAACTCACAGTTTGCTATTGAAGCCATGGCCCAGTCGAAATAGTGAGTTTTCCCATTAATAGCATGGTGATTTTCCATAGTTATGTAAACATTTACCAGAGGGTATCCAAGTAGCTTAGGATGTCGCTCCACTCGCTCCACATCCATCGCCAGGTCACACTCTTGGCACCGCAGCTGATGGCAGTCCCCAGGGCTCGGCTACAGCTGCTGCCTACGAGCTGAAAAAATCATCTTTGGATGTCTTTGGTACATGTGAAAAAACAATTAAAAAAAAGTCCCAAAGCTAGGAAATTGAAGATATTGAAGTCTTAGTTCCAAGGTGTTTCAACTGCTTCAACTCATTTTACGAAAATATATATGTATATAGAAATACAGATAGATATTCTCAAAGATAGATATTCTCAAAGACGGACACCTTTTTTAAATGTCAATGATTGTCCAAAGATATTTTTTTGGTATTCTGACAAATGGATCCAGGGTTGGTGGTTGAGCCTTGATGGTGCCCCATCCATCCTCAGTTGGAGGTGACCAAAGCTGAATGAAAGACCGCAGAAAATTTCATTATGATCATCATCCCAAGTACCCGGCCTGGTAAACGTACAAAATAACTATGGAAAGATCCACCATTTTCAATGGGTAAATCCACTATTAATGATCATTTTCAATAGCTACGTTAAATTACCGGAGGGTAAATGCAGAATAGAAAATCTTTCAAAACACGAACCAAATCCGATGTTGTGAATGGAGTTTTTTTCAAATCAATGGCGGTTTTGAAAAAAACCCAAAAAATCACTAAATGGGTGATATTTTTACCCAAATTTGTAGGTCTATGGCATTGGCTTTACCACATGATTTGGGTTTTTCATGCCATTTGAGCCATTAAAAATACCCATATCCCATCTCATTATACTAGTTGGTTGATAGGTTTCCCTACTATGGGTTGTCATAATCCCCAGTAAACCAGGTAGTATAATCCCCTATAGCAATCAATTAACCAGGTATTTTTAATGGCTCATTTCATGTCATTGGATTCCAGATGTCATGCAGACCCTGCCTTGCCGCGAGCCTGAGCGCACACTACTGCGATCCTCCTTGCGCAAGGAGGATGGGGATATTGCCTAAACCAATGGGAATGGGATACTACCATCAAATCCACTACTGTATATCATTATTGCTATCAAATTGTAAAGGTATGTCATGAATATAATATAATATAATATAATATAATATAATATAATATAATATAATATACTATATTATATATATACATACATGAGATTAGCATTGATGGAACCAAGGATGTAATGGGATGTAATGGCCATATTCTCCAACAATA